TGCTCTGTCTACGTTTTACGAGCTCTCTGTCTGTCCTTCCCTCTCGCCAAGCAAGAGATTATATACCCGAACCGGAGATCCGACTATCTATTGTTTATCGTCAATCCGCTATACGCGGTTGCCTCTACCACTGGCTAGTCCATGGTCACGACTTTACACAGCTGGGCATGTGCCCCAAAACAGAACAATAGCATAATAGTGTGTATTTATTACTATGTATTTCTGCGGTATTACAATATTTTATAACTTGTTTCTGTTGACAGCTGCCCATGGAAAGTGGGTTCCTGGTGGGCTGTTGTCCGAAAAATCGTCAAGACTAATATGTTATGATTTTCTGACAAGGGGCCCCTAATCTTTAAATGTACCAGACACTGCTGTGGCAATGTTGTCAGCAACAGCAATACATACACAAGGAGCTGCCAGAAGCGTCAAGAATTCGGCGAATAAATTCAAACGCGAGGGCGCTCGCGGCGGAATTCTTTACTCGGCGATTCGTTACTGCATGCGCTGACGGCTCGTGACTGTCTCTACCATCTTCTGTCTATACGGCTCGTGACTGTCTACCGCTAATCGCCGGTTTTTCACGGAAAGAGTATAAAAACCGCAGCAAGCCGTTACAGTTTCCTACGCTGCCAATTTTCGGTATCCTTGCTAAAGATTCGCCCGATAGGGAGCTATTAATAACGCTGTGTAATTGCTGGCGCGTGAGATCAGTGGTTACCGATTAGCCGCAAGGCCCGCAATGATAGACACTAACTAGCTGCGTTACGTGTACTCGCTGTCTCGCCTCAAGAAGGTTAATGTGATCGTATCTGCAGGCGAATTGTGGTGAATTGATGGGCTATGTAGCAACGGAAACACATCACACACAGTACCAGGAGTTTACGATGAACTCCTGACTGTATGTAGTGTTTCGAACATGTAATCAGAAGCGAATAAAAAAAGCTTTTTCCATTACTATTGACAGATGCAATAATGTCAACAAGGTATAGGGCCCGGGCGCGAATTTTTTCCCCCAAACGGTATAACATAGGGAAGAATTTAGCGCCTTCTGATTGACCGCAATTTGGCAAGATGTCAGCCTCCATGACTTGTAGCCAAAATCCCGAATTATCTACCAAAAACTTTCCGGCACTTTCTGTAAGTTAGTAGTTTTTTAGTAGGAGAGAACAAACGCTATTTGTAAAAGTTTGTTTTGGTTTATGACCGCTAGATAAGAAGATAAGATAGATAAGATACATCTAGATCTGGTGTATTTTCCATGAAAAACACATATTTTACTCATTAATATAACATATAATATCACTATAACTGGAATTCTTTGTGCAAATGTGTTATTTTCGTCTCAATCTTAAGTCTAGGCTCTCGTAATACTACATAGTTACGTACATATGTACACGCACTCGTACAATAGCCCTTCGCTTCGTCGCAGAAGGAAGAGGCGAATTAAGGGCTATAGTACTAGAGATAGGGTCCATATATATACAGAGAGTTGCGCCATGACGAGTCGGAAAACTATCGGTCACGTGGTCGCTGGACGACATGTTGTTTCCAAATAGATACGCACGGCTATGGCCGTAAGAAAGTGTACAATTATATTATCATATGGCGCGAACAATTTGAGTTACATTTCTAGAAATCTAGATACACATAGACACATGTCTTAGCTATAATCTCTGTAAATTTTGAGTTTATTGAAGCACGATTAGTCTAATTAATTACTACGGAATATTGTACAGCGTATACATACAGCGCTGTACTTAAGCGGCAGCGGTGTGGATCCATTTGGAAACAACATGGCGTCAAATCCTGAGTTGGCGCAACTCTCTGTATACAGGGACCCTAACTAGAGCTATAGACCAGTCTTAAATATTATTCATGATCTGGGGTCATCACACGAAAACGAGGCTAAGCTAGGCAATTTTGTAAACAATGGCTGCTCAGGCAGGCACGTACAGAGGGTGTACACGCACGTGCACGCAGATACACGCAGGTAGACGCGGGTACACGGAGATACACGCACGTACACGCGGGTACACGCACGTGCACGCGGGTACACGCACGTACACGCGGGTACACGCACGTGCACGCGGGTACACGCACGTACACGCACGTACACGCAGGTACACGCACGTACACGCGGGTACACGGAGATACACGCACGTACACGCGGGTACACGCACGTACACGCACGTACACGCAGGTACACGCACGTACACGCGGGTACACGGATATACATGCACGTATACGCGGGTACAAGCACGTGCACGCGGGTACACGCACGTACACGCGGGTACATGCATGTACACGCACGTACACGCACGTACACGCGTGTACCCGCGTGTACCCGCGTGCACGTGCGTGTACCCGCGTGTACGTGCGTGTATCCCCGTGTACGTGCGTGTATCCCCGTGTACGTGCGTGTACCCGCGTGTACGTGCGTGTATCTCCGTGTACCCGCGTGTACGTGCGTGTACCCGCGTGTACGTGCGTGTACGTGCGTGTACCCGCGTGTACGTGCGTGTACCCGCGTGTACGTGCGTGTACCTGCGTGTACCCGCGTGTACGTGCGTGTATCTCCGTGTACCTGCGTGTACGTGCGTGTATCTGCGTGTACGTGCGTGTATCTCCGTGTACCCGCGTGTACGTGCGTGTATCTGCGTGTACCCGCGTGTACGTGCGTGTATCTCCGTGTACCCGCGTCTACGTGCGTGTATCTGCGTGTACGTGCGTGTACCCCCTCTGTGCGTGCCTGCCTGAGCAGCCATTGTTTACAAAATTGCTTAGCTTAGCCTCGTTTTCGTGCGATGACCCCAGGTCATGAATAATATTTAAGACTGGTCTATAGCTCTAGTACTATAGCCCTTCGCTTCTTCCTTCTGCGACGAAGCGAAGGGCTATTGTACGAGTGCGTGTACATACGTACGTAACTATGTAGTATTACGAGAGCCTAGACTTAAGATTGAGATGAAAATAACACATTTGCACAAAGAATTGCAGTTATAGTGATATTATATGTTATATTAATGAGTAAAATATGTGTTTTTCATGGAAAATACATCAGATCTAGATGTATCTTATCTATCTTATCTTCTTATCTAGCGGTCATAAACCAAAACAAACTTTTACAAACAGCGTTTGTTCTCTTGTTTTGAAGGTTTTCTTCAGTCAAAGCAAATCAGTCAAGAAATAGCATCATATTTGGGTTAATTCACTCAAACCCATGTTGTTTTAAAGAAAACATACTAAAAAACTACTTTAACCTAACTTACAGAAAGTTCGGGAAAATTTTTGGTAGATAATTCGGGATTTTGGCTACAAGTCATGGAGGCTGACATCTTGCCACATTCCAGCCAATCAGAAGGCGCTAAATTCTTCCCTATGTTATACCGTTTGGGGAAAAAAATTTCGCGGGGGGTATAGGGGCTACACGGTTGGGTTACATGATGGGGTACTCCTTATTTAATCATATTCGAATGGTAGCCCGATGGATGGGACCATGCATGACGTGACGATAAACACACGTCGAACTCGGAGCCGTTTTGTTCACTTGTGTTTAGCTCATCTGGCATAGTCAGATGCAGCTTGTAGAATCGCATGAGCGTGCGTCCGTCCGTCCGTCCGTCTGTCCGTCCGTCAACAGTTGGGCACAAATCTTAACCGCTCGACGTACGGTCACGATATTCGGGACGTGGGGGGTAATCCGAAAACGAGTTGGGATG